ATGACAACATCCTGCTGTCCAGCGCCGACGCATTTATTTTCATTACCCTGAACAAAAGAATTAGTTTGACTAATTAATTTATAATTGAATAGCATTATTGTGCTCATTTTTTTTTCAGTTGCACGATGCCATCTGAATTCACCGCAATTTCCATAGCCACTAATTAAAAAAAAAATAATAAAAAAAGCTGTGTGAAATGTCGAATAAAAATTACGGTCCACTACACACTATCATTTGGTCGCACACCGCTTCCGGTTCACGTGAACCGCTTCTGCCCATGACTGACTTCGTGAAAAGTATTTAATATATACCAGTTACATGACGTATAGAATCCTTTCTCTGTTGACATGGTGACCGTCAGCTGCGCGTGCTTCCCAGGGTGCATCGCTGCATATATGAATATCGCACGCCCTCATTTCCGCCGACCGTGTAGCCGACCTTATGATCCGCAGTGTTATTCAGTCAGCCTGCGAGTACGGACAGCTTTGTAGAGGATTACTGAAACGCATCAACGTCTAGTAAATGTACTCTTCGTCTTAAAATATATCAGTACTGATGGCGGATCATTATCACTAATCGAATCATTTTCCTCTGCTTTGTTTATGATTTCACCGTGACGCATCACCGATATAGTCCTCTCGGCGTACCGTCGCATCTACTACATTGATGACGAAATTGAAACATTGATCTCTTAGGGTTACGCGATCGTGTTTGTTGTGCTTCACCTAAAAATTTTAATTTCCGCCGTGCAATGATGGCGAGGACAGTGCTGTTCTTATTCCAACTGATGGGCTTGTTCATTTCAGCATCTGCCGGTAAGTGGTGTGCGAATGAGCGGTGTGGTTGCCTCTGGTTGTTGTTCTTCTTTCGATCGATGTGTCGTTAGGCGTCACACACAATTCGTGACAGTTTACACTCCAGCTATCAGTTGTACATTTCGATTATAGTGCTTTTATCAACTTTTATGTCTGTCAATTAACGTCCTGTGACTGGAATACTGCGTTTATATCACCTCCGTGTTTTGTAGGAATTGTGAGTAAACGACTCCGTTCGGCGTATTGTCCCGGTCCTTTTGTTCCCGAGTTTCCAAAGCACACAAATTGCAGCCCCCATCAATGGGTCAGTCTGGCTACAATGAGGGATGCTAATTTGATGGGATCGTGGATTACCGTATTACATTTTTAAATAATCCCAATACCATCCAAAATATACCCTTCTCTCATGCGACCAATTCATTACCTACGCGGAGGACGTATTTTTAAATAGACGTACTATATATTGCCAGCGTATTTTAGCTGGCGTGCGATCACACCTTTCCTCGTTATCGTGCGTAGTATCTGACACAACGCTGCCTTCTCAATCGTGGGTTAATTTCGCACACATGTTGCCTGCCATTACGCCTTGCCATATGGATCCCGATGTTGTTGTTTATTGTTCTCACTGTCCATTTCTGAAGCCATATACAGTAATTGACAAAGCATATACCTATACAGTTGAATAACCTACACCCGTATTCTTCTATTGACGGAGGTCGTATATTGTCGTATTGGGGGGGTTCATAGCTTGTATTCAACACATGTGAATGTTGCATGACCCACTACACCTCGCAGTTATTGTGAAATTGCGCTGTTATTAAATTGTAATCAGGAAGGTCACGTATCGCTCGAGTTATTTTCATATTATATCCGCCAGCCCTTTGTGTACATTCATTATAATATCAAAATGGCGTATGCCGTAAAAACACAAACGCGAATAGAGATATTAATATGCATTGATGGTCAGTTCTCCTAATACAAAAATGTAATTATTATATCAAACTGTTTTTTTCCCTCAGAATTAATTCACCCGATCCTATGAGAAACAATTGTGTATACCTATTTGTCGATTTTGTAAATCCAATTAAATTCTTATTATTAATATATCGCGATGTTGTTTAACAGCGTGCTCCACGGTACAGTTACCACGTGAAATGTGTGTCGAGCAAGAGAGAAAGGTGTATTAATATTACCAATAACACTGTGAACATGAACAATTGTTTTGATTAGCATCCTTCGTAACAACAACGATGTATCTCTGGGATTCTACGTATACCCGCATTCACTGACCATGCAGTATTAGTATCAATTACTGGAGGTTACGAAAATAAACACTATTTCTCCCCGTATTTGCGCATTTTTATTTCAGTGTCTGTCCCGTGGTGAAATCGCACCAAATGTGTATACAAACAATTTGATCGCACTCACGAAAGTATAAGAAACAAAGTGGTAACGCCTATGTATCATACCACAGCGTGTTGACTGGGGAAATGAGACTACACCCTGATAAACCGGTTATTTTAGCCACCACCATGGTAACAGCTACCTGTTCATATGGACCGTTTAATGGTACTGTCTGACACTGCCGCTCGGTACATGACGACTCGTATTTGATGTAATGGGGTTGCAACTTAAACTGAATCATAATAACCGAAATAATTAATGTTCTAGGCTGCCTTTTTCATTTCTGTAATTGTGGTCTTAGAAGCGATGGCTAAATAGATACCACTGCATACACCAAAACGTCAGGCCATACTCAATCACGCGTAGCCATTTTGCATTCACAAGGGAAATTGAAATCAGTTCAGCATGGTAAACGAACAGCGATCAATAGGTCGAGTAATCTCAAAGAGATCGGGTCAAACCTCGACTTGTGTCCTTGCTTTTTGCGGTGTTCCAACAACATAGGTGAATTTGCGGGGTAAGGGGGTGTCGTGCTTGTAGCGATCGTACTTGAATGCCAATTACGTTTACACATACCCCTATATTTGAATTTACAGTTTACATCAACAACAAATTTATGTTGTTCTTTAGTCTCCTCAATTGTAGTATTCCGGGTCACTCTCCTTGCATTCCCGTTTTACGAATACACTGTCAGTTACAGCTGGTACCAGGTTTAACGCATTATGTATTTAAATATGATGATGCACTCGTGTAAGTCTACAGGAAAACACACCATTCCACGTGTGCTCCACTGTGGACATATTCCAAATTGAATGAACTGGATGAAACTAGAACTGAAACGCGTAAATTGAAAATAAAACGACTAATAAGGATGTTTTTTTCATAATGGCAACGGGCTTCGTGTTTTGTACTTTTTCATATTTTTTTATGTAATACTGACTTAAATGATGTTTGACGTAGCATATGAATACTGATAAATTGTAAATCATATTTAATCATCACCTAGGCAGCTTGGTATCATATTTGCATTATCGTAAATATGTCTAATATCATATCTAACATCTTATTTGCGTGTAATTATCGTACTATTTTTAATACACGTCACCACACATTCAATTTTGACTCAATATTACAATGATTGAAAAATACTGTAAACAAAAAGATGCATCTCATGTCTAATTATAAAAGCTAACTTGAAAGTAGCCAGAGCACATTAGGGACTTTTTCTGTTCAAACGATGTTTCCATGGCAACACATTCCTGTTCCTGCTTTATTGACATACTGACTTGCACTTGTTGTATCGTCTATATATATCGAAATATAATACACAAAACTTGCTTATATCAACATTATTTAACAATGATATTGAATTAATCACTGCGAACAGAGCACACAATTAAACATGTCCACTTCATTTTGCTGAAAGGCGTCCTCGAAATCAGAGGAAGCCCCGTTTAGTGTGTTTAGATAGTTGATGTGCGTTATTCAATACTCAGTACCGATTTAACCAGAATGGCATCGGATTTACGCATTCTTGTTCCGCAATTACATTATGTTCAACGAGCAAACATTGATTTTCTACAATTCGATTTCAGTAACACCATATGGTACAATGTGTAATTAATAATTGAAAACATGTATTCACTTTATGTACATCGAAATCGTACATAAAACATAATGGGTAACCGTTGATTAAGTTAAAACTTTGAATATATTACAAGCGACGTGTTTAATTAGGTCGTCCTTGTTTTGTTACTTATGCAAACGTAGAAATTGAACACTGAACCCAGTTACATACAATTAATATTGTATAATGAACGGTTTTTAGGATCATTTAGGATTCACATACTATGCATTTCATGCTATCGACACCACATGGATATAAATGTTTCATCTGGCCATTTTTTCTAATTCTATTCTAATTGTTTTAATTTTCTATTAAAGAATAATATTGATAATGTAACAATTGAATAACGTGGGAATTGCGTATATTGATATTATTGATTATAATCAAGTGGGTGTGGCTGACATCAGATGACCTTAGAATCAACCCACCTAAATATAGGGCGTTACTGTATTGTATCGTTTGAGTGTGTGCACAGCCTGCAATGACTAATTGGAGTAATTACATGAAATAGAAAGTTGCTGGAGCTGACACATGACCAATTAGTGACGGGAAGCACCACACCCTGTAATATCACCAGTCGGTTATAAATGCAAATGTGTGCCAAGGGTGGCGACGGTGGTATATATATTATTTTTGTTAAATTATTATTGTTGCTCGTTTTTGTAAACAGGGTTATTTTAACATAACAGTAACATATGCAAATATAAGAATAATCGACATTATTGCGTGGCATGATATTCAATTTATGTTGGTTCTAATTAATCTGAAATACCGCTTGAATACAGTGCAGTAAAGATGTATGTGGCCATACGAGTAAATTACGTGTAGCTGCATTTGTACTTAAACCATTGCCTGGTATATCATGCCTCATGTGGCAGTTGTGTACATAAACAACGCATTTGATTATATTTTGACTTTTTATAATTATTTTAATTTATTGTTGTGACACTTGGAATCTATATAAAGATTATTGCTCGGGCGCTGAACCACGTGATCTTGATTGATATGGGGGCGTACGATTCTACATTTATTATTTTTTGTTTGGTTTGTTTTTCAATAAACAAATCTAGAAATACGTCGCGATATGAGGCGTATTGTGGGTTATATTTTGGTAACCAAAGCACGTCGAATAATAGCAGTGTCTGTCGATGACGTTTTCAAATTACACAAAAAGAGCAATATAATACAGGAGGTTTAAAATACGATGGGAAACAACAGTACAATGCAATGTTTGGCGTCGTATCTGTCTGTGTGTATCTCTTTGTATGGTATGTCACATGTTTCACACACAAAATTGAGACTGTCATTCCAAGGGAAATTGATTCTTTGGTTCTTTTCAAAATCAAGATGGCACGATAGTCGACAAAACCGCTGACATACCAGTTTATCAAGCACTGTAATCTTGCTGCTTTTTTACTTAAAAATGGAACATCTAAATGTTCAATGACACATACACCCATCCGGTGGCGACGATGATGTCATATATCAGGGTAGGACATTGATACTACCAGCATGCTTGCAATAACGAGGGGTTCCACGGAGTCACACTCGCATCGTTCTCGCAATTTGTATGATGTGGTATTCGCCGGGGTTATTTGAGTCTGTCAATTTGTTTTAATTTCAAATGAACCGAGTGGACAAGCGGATAGCTACAATTACACAAGCTACAAGCTATCAACAAATCACATGTCTACCATGCCTCACTTCAACAGTGCACGTGCCGTGAAAAATGTTTACTTCCAACACAATCTGATTAAAATCTGATGTAGTGTACGGGCTTTAATTATTTTGGCTATAAACTTATTTTAATTTTATTTTTTATTACTTTTGTTATTAATGCCTTTTTATTTTATTATCATTTTACTTTGATTTTGATTTCGTGTTTTTTTTAATTCCGCCCTACATACATCTGATCCGATGCCTATGTAACGAGATTTCAACGAGACCCACTATCGGCGATTTTAGTCAACGAATCACAGACCTCCTTCTATAGCGCACATGATGACGTCACCGGGCAGAGTCAGGTGGCAAACACACTCAAATAAAATGGCGAATTATACCGACGTTATAATTAGTGACCGAGAATAACACGGCTTTTCGGTAAGTTTATCATTGTCAAATGCAACGAAAGTCATTTTTATGTTAATATTGTGGCTCGAATGGTTCGAGTTTAGATCGTTATTTTGCGTAGTTATTCTGGGAGTGACGATTTTGTTTCCACCGGTTCGACAGAACACCGGTGTCTTTTTCCAGTCGCTTGCCCTGGAGACAGGTGATGTTTTGTTGACGATCAGGCAAAAATCGTCTACGGTATTGAAGCCGTAGCTGTAAATATTCATCAAATTGTATCAACATTTTGTACATTATACAATAAATCTTTATTAAAGTAATTGAGCTGATTTGGACTGGAATAAAATATTTTTTATTTGGAACACATCGCAATTGATCAAGAAATATTTTTTACTCCAATTTTCTGCGTCGATTCCGTGGGCCGGTGACCGTTATACAATTTAAAATCAGTTTGCATTGTTTACTATAGCTGTTAACAGTGTTCTAATCATTACGATTTACTCATTTTTTTGCTTCCATTCTAGATAATTATGCTCAGTGTTTGATGTAAAATTGAAGCGATGACTGACTGAATGAACAAACCTTGGCTGGCGAAGATGTATCTGGAAGTGTACACATTTGTTGGAAGTGAAAAAAATATTCAATGTAATGACAAAAATTGTAAAATTTCTTCTGTAAATAAAAATGTACTAGCAATTTCTATTAAT